CAGCGAAGTTGTTAAACATATTTCATCTTGTCTTGATTTTTTATTGCACATACAAAATAAACAGGTATTTTTTATTCCAATTGCTTCTATTTTTACTTATTTGATTCTGGGCTGAAAATTGTAGATCGTTTATCGTACATATAAAACAAACAAGTATTGGCTACCATTACTTAAATTGTTGGTGTTACATCCACAAAGTTGAAATTTTATGTTCGATTTGCCTATATGGAACATGAAAGGGAGGAAAACTTCACATGGGCACTAGAGAAGCTAAAAAAGAGTTGTTCGCTTCCAAGAAGTTGCTACCGAAGGTTTTAGTGATAGACCATGCATTGGCGTTGATGAATTTTGTAGAAGTTATGTTTCCAAACTCAACGCATTTGTTGTGTCTGTTCCATATTTCAAAAAATGTTAGTATAAAATATAAGGAGTGCGTCGAATCACATAGGCATGAACATGTTATGGATCTATGGAACAACATCATATATTTGAATATGGAGTATGAGTTATTAGTACACCTAAAGCATTTTAAGGTTGTATGCGCTGATATTCCAAAATTTCTTCAGTATGTGCATGAAACTTGGTTGAGATCCTATAAAGAAATATTTGTTACTTCTTGGACTAATGGAGTCACTCATATAAGAAACACGATAATGAACAGGTACATCGATGTGGATATGAATATAATTACAATTCTAATTATCAAATAATGGAATTATTTTTCTATTTATATTTTTTAGGGTTGAGTCTGCTCACTAGAGACTAAAAATATGTTGGCAACTAGCAGAGGAAATTTATGTAGAAGTTTGAATGTTGTGAACACCATGTTGAAGTTCTAATTAGGCTTAATTAGAGTATCATTTCATAAATGTGTTGCCAACAATGAACTATCGATATAACACTCTATTTTACTCCAAATTGCGTGGCTTTATTTCAAGACAGTGTATACAACATATTAGAAAGGAACTGGAAAGGATAAAATTTGTTGGTTGTGACAAAGTTTTTTGTGGTTGCTTCATTAGAACAATACATGGGTTATCTTATGCTTGTGAACTTGCATGTCTTCAATTAGATGGCGAGCCTATCCCATTAGAATTTATTCATGTGTTTTAGAAGAAATTATTCATTGAAGAGCATGAGGTCACTGAAGAAGAAAGTGGGACACAGTTGATTATCAATGTCTAAATTTGAATGTCAATGGAGACAAAGACTGGCTTTGGCGTCATAGGTATGAACACCCAAACTTTGAAAGTCTAGGTATGTTCAACTTGAAGAAGATGGTGTATGGCTTACCTCAAGTGAAGGAAACAAGTCAGATGTGAGAGGAGTGTTGCATAGCAAAACAGACAAGGAAATCATTCAAACACAACATGTCCATGAAGTTAATACAAAAGCTAGAACTGGTTCACTATGATGTGTTTGAACCTTTTGAAGTCAGATCAAATGGAGGTAATTTCTATTTCCTAACTTTCATATATTAGTTCACCAAATATATGTGGATTTATCTTATTGAAAGGAAAAGTGAGGTATTCACATAAGTCAAGAAGTTTAAGTTGCATGTTGGAAAATAAAGTGAACGTAAGTTAGAGAGACTGAGAACTGATGGAGGTGAATACACCTCTATGGAATTTGAAATATTTTGCAATGAGGAAGGTGTTGAGAATGAGTTCATTGCACCTTATACACCACAACATAATGGAATAGCTTAAAGGAAAAATATAAGTATACTAAATATGGCCAGAAGTATGCTGAAAGCCAAAGAATTGCTAAAGAGATTTTGGGGAGAAACAGTTCTGACAGCAGCGGACATACATAACATATGTCCAACCAAGAAGATATGGCACATGACACCTTATGAGTCTTGGACAGGGCTGAAGCCAAATGTTAGTCATCTTAGAGTATTTTGATCAATGTGGTTCAAGCATGTACCTGAGCAATTGAGGATAAAACTAGACGATCGAAGCTAGACCATGGTGCTCATAGGTTATCATTCAATTGGTGCATACAAGTTGTATTCACCAAACGATGATAAACATGTTATTAGTAGGGATGTTCTGGTGGACGAAAGCAAATGGTAGAATTGGAATCAAGGGTCAGTTCAACATAAACAAGAGACAATCACAACTATGCTTGAAGCATACCAGCAAAATGAAGTCACGACCACTTAAAATGAAAAGCCACTTGAGCAAAATTTTAGAAGAACTACTAAAACAAGAACTGAGTCAACAAGACTAGTTGGATATGAGAGTTTTCAAAATCAAGCAATTGATGCAGATTGTGGCCTCATAGGAGAAGTAATGACGTTGGCTGAATCATAACCAATTAATTTGGATCAATCCATGAATGATTCAAATTGGTTAGAAACCATGCAAGAAGAACTTGGGGCAATTAAGAAGAACAAGACCTGAGAACTCGTGGAAAGATCAAGCAAGAATCCAATTGATGTGAAGTGGGTCTAAAAATTGAAACTTAGGCCAAATGGTGATATTGCTAGGTACAAAAGCCAAAGTAGTGGCAAGAGGCTTTCTACAAAAACTGAGCATTGACTTCAATAGAGTATATGCACCTGTTGCAAGATTGGAGACCATTAGAATTGTTGTATCTAATGCAACAAGCATAATATGGAAGATACATCAATTGGATGTAAGGTCATCATTTCTAAATGGACCATTGGATAAAGAGGTTTATGTTAGTCAAACACCCGGTTTTGAAATCAGAGGGAAAAACATGAAATTGTATAGGTTAAGGAAAGCATTGTATGGCTTGAAGCAAGCTCTTAAATCTTGGAAAAAAAGAATAAATAGTTTCTTGATCAAGGCGGGATTCTCTAAATTTATATCATGGCATGAAGTGTATGTCAACAATGCAAGCAAACTTATTAAAGTCATTCTATGTTTGTATATGGACGACTTGTTGAAACAGGTGCAGATGAGGCAGAGACGAAAAGGGTCAAGATTGAACTGATGCAGGAATTTGAAATGTCTGGCCCAGAGAACTTGTTATATTTCTTAGGGATGGATTTTAAAATCATGAGTGAAGGAGTGTTCTTGCACCAAAAGAAGTATGCTCAAGATATCCTGAAGAGGTTCAACATGAGTGATTGCAATGAAGCAGCCACGTCATTAGAGACAGAAGCAAAGCTGAGGAAGAATACAAATGATGAGCTTGTGATTTCAACATTATACAAGCAAATCATTGCATCTTTAAGGTATCTATGCAATACCAGATCAGACATTTTCCAAAGTGTTGGAATATTGAGCAGATTCATGAAGAAGACTCCATAATGTCATGTGGTTGTAGTCAAAAGACTGTTGAGATACATCAAAGGAGCAGTTGGCAATGGTATGATGATGTCAAACAAAAAGAACATGAAGAACAATGCAGAAGTATGTTGATACACAGACTCAGACTTTAGTGGCAATCAGGACGGGAAGAAAATTATTGCACTGTATATATTCATGTTTAGAAATGCCCCAAACTCTTGGAGCTTAAGAAAGCAAAGCATTGTAGCATTATCCTCATGTGAGGCTGAATATGTAGCTGCATCTTATGCAACATGCGAAGCATTATGGATAGAGATGTTGCTCGAAGAGTTCAAGATCATAGAACCTAGAAAGATGAAATTGTTTGTAGATAGCAAGTTAGCTATTGACCTGACAAATCATCTTGGGCTCATGGTAGGAGTAAACACATAGGGAGGAGGCGTTGTTTTCTTAGGGATCAAGTAAATAAAGGAAAACTTAACCTTGGGCATTGCAAGTCAAAATTATAACTAGTTGATATATTCACCAAGTCATTAAAGAAAATCAGGTTCGATGAGTTGAAGAGAAGCATTGGAATAAGAAGTCTAGAAAACATGAATTAGGTGATGAAATATGCTAGCAGTATTCAAAAGGGTCGAATACAACATGTTATTGTTGAAATGTGTTGGCATGTATTCGACAGAGTCGAATATGTCAAATACATCATGTAATAAGTCAAATACATCATGTAATAAGCCAAAAATGTTATTTGTCTATAAATAGACACATGATGATGTAAAATAACAACTTCCTCATTTCATAATACAATCATTTTAACAACTGTAGTACAATTAAGCTTAATGAGTTGAAGCAATGATGAATAAGGAAGGCCAAAATTACATTAAAAGAAAACAAAAACAAAAACAAAAATGATTATCCTCTTTATCTATTGCGAGTTGTAGCTTTTTTTTCTCGAATATAAACACTTTCAGTAGTTTGTAGTTGTATGACTCTTTATATATATATATATATATATATATATATATATATATATATATATATATATATATATATATATATATATATATATATATATATATATATATATATATATAATTTTAAAAATATATATAAATGTAAACCAAAATAGTGAAGCATTGGTCAGATCCTTGGTGGGTTATCCGGTTCTAAACACATACTCCTAATTAGAACTATGCCCTTTAGTTATATATATATATATAGTTTAGGAAACACATTTATTAGTTTCCCTTTAAAAACTAGTCTTAATAAACTATAATCTGATTTTTATAAGCAATTCAATTATAAATAATCAAATAAAAATTATTCTTAATCAGTCCAAATCTTCATTATTTTAATTGTAATTAGCATTATCAATAACCATTTCTCTTATCAATAAAGAAATAATTTGGGATAAATTTTAAAACATACCTCAAAACATTATTATGTTCTATGTTACTATTTTACTTTGAAAATTTAAATTAATAGTACAAAAAATTTGACAGTGTGAACGTGGTAAAATTCATTTCCAAACACACAAATAGAAGCCAAATCATTCAAATCCCACATGTATTTTCTGGTCAGGGGAAAGAGTTATAAGAGGATTTGCATCAAAGTTTTACCCCATTAATTAATCATAACACAACCCTAAAACTATGTGTTCACTAAAGAGAAACAAAAATATATTCAAACAACAATGACTACTTGTGAATTTAGTTCAACTGGGGCAAAGATTTATCATTAACAGTGTGGTTGTAATCTGCAAGTTGGACAATACCACTTTCCCTTGAACCTTGTTTCTTGAGTAAGGCCAACACATGAATAGTGGAACCACTCACCTCCTCGGCACTATCAAGAATAACGATAAAACTTGGTCACAATAATCAAGGAGAGAAAGAAAAGAAAGACATGCAACAAAATCGGCACAAGAGAGAGCAAAGTAAAGTGAACTCACATTTTCATTGTCACAAGCAATCATGTCTCCAAAAGATACCTGAATTAAAAGATAACTAAACTGACTCAGTTTAAGCAAAAACAAAAGGTGATATACTAGACATGGAACTATAAGAGATATTATTAGCAACATATATATCATAACCTGATGACAAACACAGTATGTAGGTTCATTTGGATCAATGGGTTGATCAACATCCATAGGGGTCGCATAATCCTTCTTATGGCCTCCTGGTGGAGGCATTAGCTCAATGTCTCTATCCCAGTCTCTTTCCCTGTAATCAAGTCTCTTTGATTGAGGTGTACCATATACGTGCCTGCGCTTTTCAGGTTTAGGGACAATAGGCAGTGGGGGGAGAATGGCTGGCTCATCTGGCGGTATTTTCCCCTCTGATAAAATCAAATGTGAAAGAAAAAAAGAAAAAAAGAAAAATATAAAAACTGAAAATGTAGAGAGAAAATTCAATAACAATGTAGATTATAGAAAAAAAGGAAATTCCAGGGGAGCGGGGAGACCGAAAAACAAAACACGTAAATTCCAAAACAATATTCCTTTTTTGCTTTTCCTCTTTCTTTTTAGTGTATTACATTACATTACATGTTTCTTTATACAGGTCAAGAAACCCCAAATATACTCTTATTTTCCCCTGGATAAATTTGAGCAAAACTAATAAAGCAGTACGTAAGAATTGGATATCATACTAGTTATATAGGTTGATTTTGAAAATATAATTTGTGATTAATGACACAATAAATCAGAATGCAAATCAAATGGTTATTTTACCTTGCTTTAAATCTTCAGCGAAGTTGTTTAAATCCTCATCAAGTCGTTTTACATGGCTATCTATCTGAAGCAAATACAAGAAGATTGAAACTTGAAACTTAAGTTGTACAATCTTCCTTGTATGCAATATATAACCACATGCAAAATGCAAAAAATTTACATGACTCTGAAACAACTTAAAGTAATTTTTTCTACGATATACATGGATAGATGATAAGCACATAGAACCACATTCCCAATTATCTTCAGTCGTATAATGTAAATTGAGACAAAACATAAAAAAGATGAGTGAGAATGTTCTAACTCCTAAGAGAAGCATCGTCAAACAATATAGTTATACGATATCATCTCATGGAAACAAAAGTATAACAGTTTCTGAATCTCTCTTTGATTACATATTATAGTCTACAAGATATGCTCAGTGCTTATTTTGATAACAAGTTAATCACATTACCATTAAGACATTCCGCTACTCTTTAGGTATTATTTTGTTGCAACAATAATTCACACGTACTTGTATATGAAATAAACTAGAGCCAAGTCATAAAAGCAGTAACTGAATAAAGAAAAAAAGCTAACCAGTTCATATGCTTGCTGTGCTAACAAAACCTTCTCAGTGCATAGACTCAATGCACTATCCTGGTTTGCCTCAATTTCTTTTAGCAGTTTCTCAATAGAAGCATCATCGTCGCCATTGGCGTAATTATTATTATAACTATAATTATGATTACCCTTCTTAGAGCCATGAGAAGAGAACCCCATACAGTACTTTGTCTGCTGCCTAGTCTGGTTTATCATAGCTTCAATCACACAACAAAACCACAAGAACAACAAAAAATGATTAAAAATACTATTAATGAAGAACAAAAAAAAGGAAACTTTTGAGTAGGAATTTACATTGGGATCGTTCATCGAGTTCCCTAACGGTGTTAAGCAGTCTCTGAAGCTCAGCGGGCAACGTGTTGGCGTCTGTGGAATAGAAAACATGACAAAAATGAGGAAATTCGTTGAAAATGGGGTGAAATTAGGGTTAGGATGGAGAGAAAATAAGAGAAAAGAAAATATGCTTACACTCCAAATAGTCGTCGACGTAGACTCCGGTGCGTGCAATTGCCATTTTGATGGAATGATTATTGCGATAGAAGAAAGATTAGGGTTTGCGAATGGGATTGGGATTGCGAACCCTAGAAGAGTGTTTGCAGGTTCGGATACGAGGTAGACGAAGAAGAGACAAAACGGTGTCGTATGAGCATGAAATTTTACGCTGTTTTAAAGAAAACAAAATTACCGTTGATAAGGCGGGGATTTCTGTTCTAGTGGAAACAGAGTAGGAATGGATTAACTTAGGAACTAAGTTGATATACAAATTTCATTCACCTTTCATCTCAAAATAATTTATTGAATTGTCCAAATCAAACATATTAAAACATTATATTATTGTATAAAAGAAAAAAGATAAGTACTTTAATTAAGTATATATATTAGTGTAATCAATTCAACCATAAATACAAAGTACAAAATATAAATTTGTTAATGATAAATGTGTTAATGCATCTCCTTCTAAATATAAATGTTACCTTCAAAAATGGAAATAAAAAATCATGAGAGATTAATAAATGTTGATATCAAACTACGACGACTTTGATCTATTTCACGATAATGCACAATAAATCATAAATATAAAGTAAAAAATTGAAATATTAATGATAAATGTTTCTAAATATAAATTTTAATTGTTTTTTATAATCTATGTTTTTAACCTTATATTACGTTTTTTTACCATAAATATATATAATTTTGATTTTTCATATTTAAAAACACTTAGCTTATTTTCTAATCAATAAATGGAAAGAGTGAAGAGAAATACAAAAGTGGTCCTTCTTAGTTGTTATATTGAACATTTGATAATTGATGACAGTTGTCATTATATATATGATTTTACAAGTAATTTTAGATGAAATCAAATGAATAATGAGTAAAAAGCATATCAAAATGTAAAGAAGTGAGTAAAAATCTAACAAGAAGAATAAATATAGACTTATTGAATTATTGAAGAAATCGTGAAGAAATTCCGAATAAATGACATTTTTCAACACATTTTAAATTGTGACATTTATCTAGTAATTTGATCATATCCGGAGTTTCGTAACTTGGATACTGACGAATTTTTTTATAAAAGAAAGCTAAAAAGGAGATCTAGCCACTGGAATAAACGTGACTGCACTACTTTAAAACGCGCTCGCTTTAGACCATCATTACTCAACGCGCCCGTGTTGATGTTCAGTGAGCTCGCGTTAGAACGTTTTTTGTTGATGCGTAAATTACTATTTAAAGGGTTGTTTGACTACTTTTTTTGGAAGGTCAATTCTAGAGAGAGAAAAGTGATGTTTAAGGGCAATTTTAGAGATTTTTGGAGGTCATTGAAGCTATTGGAGAACTTATTCTTCAGTGATTCTTCATGTTCTTCGAAACTAAACTACTGGTGTTGAATTATTTTAACATGAGTAACTAGATTCCTCTTAGGTTAGATTTTATTTTATGATGAATTTATTTCTATTTGATTGGGACATAAGATCGAATGATGTTAATGTAATTGCTCTGAATCTTTGTTATTATTCAATTATTGATTGCATTCATTGCCTATTGTTTGTTATGACATTCAGTTTGATCTTGATAATAGTGATTATTGACCCTGGGGATATTTATTTGACATACTTTAACTGTTGAATTCGCTAATTGGCTAGGGATAGTATAATTAGGAATTGTGACTTAGGGATTAACGAGACATGTTGCCTAGTCTGACGTCACTATTGGCCTGAGGGATCAGGGAATTGACGTTTAGGTTAGTGAGTTACTGTTGACCGGAAGTTTCGACCAGAAAAGTGGCAACACAGCAGTTGGTCGACGGGCTCAATAACCCGTTCAGGAGGCAGGTCGACATTGACAGGAAAAAGATGGTGGGGTCGATCCCTGGTGGCGTCAGTCGACCAAGACGGGCATAGGCCATGCAAAAGGATGTATGTTTGAGCGGGAAAAGGATTTGAAATCCAAAGACATGGGAAGTTATAGAAGTAGTGGACAAACATGTTGCAGCATCAGATTCAGCGTGTCAGTTATTTATTTTCTCTATTTAAACCAATGTGTGCTTTGGTAATAAAGGCGCTTTTGGTAAGATTGTAAGGAAAACACTCGGAGTACCAAAGCGTTGCGAGAAAAGAGTTTTTCACTCCTACAAGATGTACGATCACATCACCTTTCTCTTTTTCATAAGCAATTTATGTTGTTAATTCCAAGTATATTTTGTCTTATTGTTTGCTTCTACTTTCAATCTTTGTACACAAGTTATTGCTCATTCCTGCGCATAGTTTTCTAAGTCGTCGGTCTTACTTACAACTAAATTCCCAATATATTTCAAATAGATCCCATACCACCATTCCTCACATACATCCCAACCCTACTGTTCTGGGACTCGTTTGACCGGTCCCGCAAGTAAACTTGTGTTAGGAGGTCGGAGGTTGTTCACGCAAAAACTGCGTGCGAACAAATTGGCACACCTGGTGGGACACGAAGGGTTTGGGTGCATGCATTTGCATAGTGGTAAGATGCTTATGCCACGTCCAAACGAAGAACTGTCTTCGGAAGGAAATACGACGGTGACTCAAATGACTGAGATCAACACTGGCACTGTGTCTGCGGTGTTGGCGGCTCAAAGCGGGCCCGTCGTGACACCCCGTCGACCTGAACCCAGGCCCATAGTGACAGGGGCTGAGGGGCAACATATGCCTAGTTTCATAATGTCGGCCCCCAGGGCCTTTGGAATGTCGACAGAGTTTATGTCGAGCTTGCACCACGGTGGCCCACTGTTCGGGGAAGGCTCTTCTTCAGCATTCTCCCTCATATCAGGGTTTAGGGCCTTCGAAGAGCCAAGTCACGATGCCTCCAGGGTTTGGTATTCCATCATTTTCGTTCCCAACTTTTACAACAAGTTCCGTCGCCGTCGTGAGGCAACAAATGGATGAGAGTAACCACGAAATGGTCCACATGCTGACTCAGCAAATGGGCACCATACTAAGGCCACTGATACACGAGTCGACTAAGAGTTATCAATAACTGGCAACTCAGATGACCCAGATAGGTGACTTTTTGGGTGCTCCCAAAACTACAGGTCGACAGACGCCTCCACCTCGACTGGAGACGCCCGTTCGCCAAGACGAAGTGTTTGACGAAACAACTAACCAGCATCCCAACAAGGCTGAACACGTACTTAAGGTGGCCCAAAGGCCTCCCGTTGTTTTAGTTCATAGAAACCAGGATCCCGACGTCGTGGTCAGACAAATTCGACACGAAGCCATGGCAGGTGAACCCAACTTAGAAGCCATGGCGGAATGAATCTTGGTTTGCAATGGGGCGAATCAAGGCCCTCGATGGACAACATATACGTCCCCATTACCAGACTTTGTCCTACAAACAGAGTTGCCTAGAGGGTGGAAAGTGCCAAAATTTACCAAATTTGCTGGAGAAACTAAGGAGTCCACTGTTGAGCATGTTGCCCGATACCAAACTGAAGCAGACGACATAGCAAACAACAAAGATCTAAAATTTAAATACTTCCCCAGTTTCCTCACCAAGAATGCATTCACTTGGTTCACCATGTTACCCCCTCAATCCGTCCAGACCTAGGTGCAATTGGAAAGATTGTTCCATGAACAGTTTTACATGGGGAAATCGGAAATTAGTCTGACAGAGTTAGCCAACGTCAAACGAAAGACTATAGAGTTCGTAGACCAATATCTTAACAGGTTCTGACTGCCGAAAGCGTGATGTTTCACGCAAGTCCCTGAACACAAACTAGTCGAAATAGTAGCCAGTGGCCTGGACTATTCGATTAGGAAAAAATTAGACATGCAATATCTCAGGGATATGGCTCAACTAGCGGATAGAGTCCGTCAGGTTGAGCGGCTGAAAAGTGAGAAAACCCAGGTCACTAGATATCGCAAGAAAGAGAAAGTTTCGTATGTAGAAACTGAAGAATACTCATCTACTGATGAGGAACTTATCGAGACTAACACGGTCAATGTGGCTGAACTAAATCCAGGACCCCCGTACACATGCAAATCACTAAAACTGTCAAATGGAAAAAAAATTCTGTCAAAACTGAAAAAACAGACAAATATGTCACAAAAACATATACTTTTGATGTATCTAAGTGTGATGAAAATTTTCGTTTGTTGGTTAAAAACGGTCAGATTATTGTTCCCCCTGGGGAAAAAGATCCCCCGATAGAACAAAAGAAAAAAGGATTTTGTAAATTTCATAATTTCCTTGGTCATAAGACATCTCAATGTGTTCTTTTCAGGGATTTTGTGCAGAAAGCTTTGAAGGAATGTCGGCTTCAATTCGGCGAAAGGCCCAAAATGCAAGTGGGCACAGACCCTCTGAAAGTCGAAGAGGCTTTGTATTCTGAGTTATACGACTATACAATGGTGGAGGCTACTGAACGTCTCAATGAGCGCCAAGCAACTGAAATGGGTGAGTGCATGATGATCGAGGCTACTGATGGCCCCAACAAGAAGGCCAAAGGAAAGATCGAGGCAGTGTACCCTCAAGTTGGCGAGAGTTTGACTGATTTACAGAAGAAATGCAAGGTGAGTGGGTCGAAGGTTGTGTTATGCCCGAAGTGCCACGCTGTGTTTGACGAAAAGGCCACTAAGAAGTATGAAGCAACGAAAGTGGCATGGACAGAGAGCAAGCCACGCATCTCTCGGTTCGTGTTCGACAAGGACGGTGCACCTCGACGAAATGAAGAGTACAAGAGGTTGTTTCAACCAGCACGCCCCAAAACGTTTGTGCCACCCTCAAATACCCCACGAGATAAATGGATGGCGCCAGTAAGCCAGCAAGGGAGCAAATGGCCTAAGTGGAAGGCTTTGGATTTGGAGAAGGGGGAAAAAGTCCCAGACAAGGATGCTTAGCCCAAAGGTTACAGGGTTTCTCCCAACTACAAAGGAAAAAACCTCATGACAAAGACCCAGTGGAGGCGATATCAACGAAATAAAAAAGGCAGCAAGAGAAGCTCCGACTTTAACTCTGAAGCCCATGGGACCCGCCAGCCTGAAG